GCTTGTCGAGGTGTGTCTCCACCAGGATGTGGATGTCATTGTCTCGGCTCCATAGCCAGTCAAGAGTGTGCCGGCCGAAAGTGGTGATGTTGGCCACGTGGAGCTTCATGCTATCCTGTGTGTGTCTTGCCTTTTTAGGCGGTGTGCCGTGCAGCGGAGGGTCGTAGTCTGGAGTCTCTGGCTCAGGCATGGCCCGCTGGATTTGTCGCGGCTTGACAAAGGCGGTGGTCTCTACAGCCCAAATCTGTACTATTTGGCCAGCGAGTTGGGGCGTCAAGAAAGGGAGCACCGTTGGATGGCCGCCATCATCAGCGATCCACATCAAGTCTCTGTAGACCAGGATGGTGAAGTAGTGGCCGCTGTCATGGGTGGGTCCTCTGTGGCAGATGTACGCAATGGGAATGCACTCTGCACTGGCTCTGGAGAAACCGTCCAAGGACCTGGGAACGGTAAAGGTGCCATGCGGGTTGAGCGCTCGTTTGCGCTTGGTCAGGACGCCATCGTAGGTGACTGCCCGATTGATGTGGGCCACCAAGACAGTTTTGTCATCACCCAGGAATTGTCCCAGTCCTTGATTGGCCCAGTTGTTCATCAGCTCCTGCCAAGTGATTTCATCCAGGAATTCATCTGGGTAGTCCACAATGAGCGGAAGCTGGACATGGTCAGCTAGGTAGCCCTGTTCTTTGATCTCAGAGTACCTGTACTGCATCACTCGGGTCTGGGATTTGAGCCAGAGCGTGTTGACAAAGTGTGCTGCGTCACCCTCGAGGTTCAGGTCATGCTGTTTCCAGAGATCCTCGAGTCCGGGTAAGGCCTTGATGTCAATGGCCTCAGTGAGCTCCAGTGAGGTTTGTACTGCTTCTTTGACTGTGCCCCATGGTTCCAGGTTGAATTCGGCCAGATAGGCACACATCCAGCAAAAAGCTCTCCATGGGGCATTGGCATAACACCTGGTGCTGGGGTTGCCGATGATCATCGTCAGGTTTTGGAGGATGAGATCAGTGGTTGAGGCATATTCATGGTGGCTCATGTCCTTAGTTCCACAGCCCGTGGAAGTGGTGGTCTCCAAAGAACTGGAGTAGGTGCCGCCGGTCAGGTTCACAAAGGGCTGGCCATTGCCGTTATGGGAGGCCGTGTCAAAATTGTGACCAGTAAAGGTGTCTGGTGCTGTCGTGGGATCAGATCCCATTGGGATGTGGTTGGATTGCTGTTCCCCTGCAATCAGTGTCCCCAAAACGAGAGGTGCAAAAGGGCTCCAAGTTGAATTGTCCCCATCAATTTGGAGGCTCATGCGAAGTTGTCTTGACTCCGGAGTTAAAGATGCGATTGATCTGATGTCCGTTGTCTGTGCAACTGGCATTTCCCCTGTTGAGCCGAGGCCTGCGCGGCAAACCGGTGTTGGTGGTGTTGCCATGCTCGGAGGCTCAAATTCTTGCAAAGGTTCGTCTGGTTCCTGGTATTCCCCATGTGAATTTTCTGTCCCATCCCATGACCACGAGTCATCATCTGGTAACGGAAAATTCAACCCCGAAGTGGCTCCATGTGCAGGAGGGTTACCCACAGTGTCCTGGGGCAAGTGGTGCAGGGCCATCAGTTTTGCGCCTCTTGGTCGGATCCTCAGTGTCAGATCCTGAGCGCTTGAGAAGACCGTGGAGTTGAGTCTTTTGCTCTTCGGTCAAGGCTATCCCTAGGTTGTGCACGAAAGATTCCACAGCCATGGGGATTTGCTCTGGCTCTGGCAAGGTGCCTGTTAACTCGGCAGGTGTGGGTGTTTGGTTCACCGCTTTCATGTAGTCTTGTGAGAGCTGCTGCAAGGCTTTTTGCCCTTCTGCAAGTTTCCCTTGGAGGGTTTGCATGTCAGCCAGCAAGGTGGTGTATTGAGCCTTCACACCGTCGATCTTGTCCTGAAGCTGGCTTTTCCTGATTGACAGGGTTTTCAGCTCCGTGACTTGGCCTTTGAGCTTCATGGCTATGTCTTTCTCGGTGCAGGGTTCCGGTGCCGTGAGCTTCGTGACGATCTGCTGAACTTGGGTGGGGAGGGACTCCATGTGCGACTTGAGGATGTCTGTGAGCTCTGGCTCTTCTGGCTTGGCTGGGCCAATGCCGAGTGCTTGAAGGCGGGTCTGTGTATCTGCGGGCAGGGTGGTCCAGCTGGTGGCCAAGAGGTCTGTGGCTTCTTGTTGCACCCGAGATTTCTTCAAGGGTTTGACACGTCCCAGTCCTGAGGGTGTCTCCAGCCATGGTTGCTTTACCTTGGAGGTAGGTCGCCCATAGCCCTTGCCCTTGCCGGCACCTCCAGTGGCAGCAGGCCACCAGTTGCCGCATCGTCTGCACTTGGTGTTGGGTTTGACTTTGTCAGTCCAAGTCCAATTGGTGCAGTCTTGTCTTGAACAAGTCATGTAAGCTCTGCCCCATTGTGGTGTCATTGTCCCTGATCAGGAGCAGGTGTCCGGTTCGGATGAGGTCAACCTAAATGGCAAACTGGGTGGCACCGATCAAGATCTGGCCAAAGTGAACCTGAAGGTTGTAGTCCAGTCACCAGGTGGAGCTCTCAGAAATAGCCAGGCGAGAACTGCCGGACACCAAAGGTCTCGTCAGGGATGGCCAAGGAGAAGACGGATATAACTAGCAAAGAATGTGTGGTAGGCCGAGAAGTCGAGACTCGAGGTCAGGTGAAAGTCTTTGCTATGTTCGAATGGGGATATCCGCACTGGCAGGACTTTATGGGAAGCCTGCTTGATCTCAAATGGCCTTGAGCCAAAATGGCTACGGATGTATGTATGTATGTATGTATGTATGTATGCATATACCAATCCCGAGATCCATGGAGGAAAGCGATGGACGGGGGGGGCGAAGGTTCACCTTCCAGCGAGCCGCTCGACGTTCGCCAGCGATTCGCAGCGATCAACATCAACATCGTTCGTTCCCGGAAACCGTTTTCCGCTCAACATGGAGGGTCAAGGTGGTCAACACGTTTGGGCCACCTTCGCTCCTTGTAACGGTGGTCATGAGTCGTATGTGAGGGTCCATGATGTCATATGATAGTCCTAAGCTGCCATAATACGGTGTTCATGATTTGAAGCCCCACCATGCCCCACCATGCCATTGCAATCTGAGCCTCCCAAAGCGTGCCGCAACAGCCCTTGGGCTTCTCGGCCAAGGGCTCCGGGGGGCTTTGCACCAAAATGGCGAACAAGTCGTAGGAGGCGTGCACCACATCATATTTCCAAATCCTACCGAATTTGAGGAGTGCAACCATCAGCTATGCCGCATCCTAAGCCTCATCATATGCCTCGCGTGCGCACCATGCGCTTCTGTACTGATTCAACGTGTTCGACAGCGACCCGAAAGACCTGAAAGATCTGAAAGAAGGAGACAACGCAAAGCAGTGGCATGGGAAACGCACACAGAGCGAGCTCCCACTACTAATTAGTCTTTATTAGTACCATAAGTCATGGTTCAGTTTGTGTTTTGGTTCTTCTCAAATGTTCTTCCGAAATCAACGCCACAACAAGCCCCACAAACGCAAACCGGTATGGCCTACGCTCTCTCCAAAAATCCTGGCAACCCCAACCGAAACGGACAAGTCGCGCGCCGGACTGCCGTGCCGGACTTCCGTGCCATACAGACCGTCGCTTGTGGCACAAAGGGCGGGGTGGGACACGTCACACGGGACCGGGAGACTGGGGCGAGTCTACCGGCGTTCGTGGTCTTTGGTCTACGTGCGGAACACTGGCAAAAAAATCGCTGGGTCCTTGAGCTGGTGGATGCTGATCAAGAAGTCAAGAGTTTACATGATCTGGTCAACCCTTGCAGCACTTGCACCTTGCAGGCACCGCTTGAAGGGGCCTGCAGACCGACCACCACCCCGTGCCGCCGCCGCGGTCCTCACCGTGTAGTCCACGCCACCGCTCACCACGAAGTCCGCCGCCGCCGAGGCATCCACGCAGGTCACGCGGCCATCGTGGCCGCGGGTGAAGAAGTGCCGGAGCAAATCCATCATGCTGTCATCCCCTTTGGCCTCAGCTGAGGAAGAGATTCACGCAGCTGAGTGAGTGAGGGATGTCAGGTAACAAGAAGGGGTGTGAAGCTTTCCCTAACCAATTCCCCATAGGAGTCGCACGAGTCGGACGCATCCTTCGCATGCCTTCGCATGCCGAGCCCTCCGAAGGCATCCTTCGCCTCCGGCCCTCTCCGTGGCTCTCCGCTCGGCACACGGTTGCAGTGGTGGAATGCCCCGCAGGACCGGTCTGCTGCGAGGTAAGGACTGCGGAGAGTGTCCCATGGAGATGTTCGCGCCTTCCATCGACCAATATCCGACCAACACACGTGGGGTGTCGCCGGTGTTGCGGCCTACAGTAACTCTTTAGGCTCAGGTGGACCAAATGCATTGGACTCCTTAGGAGGTTTTTTCAACTCCTCCCAACTCTTGTCCAGATGATGAGAGGTCAAAACCTGCACAATCCGACAAGAAAAACCTGACATCCATCGGACGCCCCAAACCCGAAGAACCCGAAGTTTCGCCCCCAGTCCACTAAGACATTCAGCGCCGGGTGGCCGTGTATGCGACCTGTGCGGCGCTTTTGGGTCGGTGGGGGGGAAGGGAGAAAACCCATCGAAAGGCAGGCGAGTTCCGAGTTCCGAGTTCCGGGCCTGTTCGGTTCCAGCCCCCAGCAGCAGTTCCGATGCTTTGCCATCTTCCACGTCCGCCATGACGTGGTTGGTCCGAACGACGAGATCGGATCGCGGGGCGGCTTGGACGAGATCTCGAACACTTCAGCTGCAGCTCGGCAGTCGGCGGCACTACTAAATGCACTGGCCCGAAAGTACCACAAAGAGTAATTACAAAAGAATCCCAATCAATCCAAATCATGAGTTCATTCATGTTCCTTGAAATCATGACCACATCTGGCACTCAAATCATCGGCTGCCACATCAAATGACCAGCCCCGTGCCGGTCAAGAAGCCACTTGTGTCTCTCAGTGTCTCTACCAAGGCTCGCATGGCCGCACAGCACCCTTGGACCGGATTCGAGGCCGGCCTCGGCCATGCACCGGTCGCTGGTGCACCAGTTGGGAGGGAAGTGAAGCCCACCGACCCTGAAATCTCGAGTGAAGTCCTCGTGGTTCTGTCTGACCATGTCGTCTTCCGTGTTCGGCGGGCGGCCATCCAGGGTACGTTTTGATCCTAAACCCCAGGGTGGCTCGACTCCGGATTGTCCAAGAGACCAAGCATATATCTAGCAGCTACACCAGCGGCAAAGGTTCGAAAGCACAAAACGTAAGTAACCAGGCAGCTAAGACTGCATGTACATATTTAGTATTATGTCATCATATGCCCCTGAGCCCGAAAAGGAACGGATATATCGCGAGCATCGAGCACGCACAAATCCTTGCTGAACATGGTTTAGCTTCAAGTGCAAAACGTCTACCTGATCTACATTTGATTCCCTACTTCGGTCCCAAAACCACCCGCACCAAGCCCCAAGAACCACACAGCACCCAGCAAGGCACCCCATGGACCCAAGCCTCCCAGCCGCCCTCTTGGAGCGATGCCCGGGGTCGATGGCCCAAACGCTGCCGGGGAGCGATGCAAAGCACGGGCCCCGCCGGCAGCGCCGGCTGCTGGTGCTTCAGGCCGCCCAAGCCATCGAAGATGCAAATGCTGCCATCAGCGTAGACCACAATCCTGAAGGGGTGGAGCGATGCACCAGGACCCAGACTTGACAGGTCTCCGAAATGGTGGCTTTTGCAGACTTAACAAGTCGCAGGTGGTGACCTGTTGGAGGGTGCTGGCAGAGGGGGTTGAGAACAGATGGACACCTGACTTTTCAATTAAATCACATCGTGAAATCTTTCCACAGGACAGTTGGCACAAATAACGACCAGGTGACGTTCAGGAGGTTGTCTGAGTCATGTGGCCAGAAGATCCTCCATATGATTAGATGATTAGAGTTATGGAGGAGGTTGAACAAGACTGCTTCAAACGCTTGATTGAGGGCTTTTCTGATTAGACTTTTTCAAACGCTTGATGGAGGCCCCTAAGGGGCCTGGGACAAATCAACACAAGTCCATACGTCTGCCTCCCAACGTTTCCCAACGGTCTGTCTCTCCATCTCGGGCTCGCTCGCAGCCCTGGTGGGGCTGCGAGCAGCACCGACGAGCCAGGACACATGTGCCCTTCAAACTGCAAGAGGCCTGGAACCGATGGGGGCCAGTTTCCGGAGCCTGTAGGCTGGAGTGGAGGCCGTGGAGGCCAATGGTGGCCTCTCCCGGTGCCAGTAGTTATGGAGTTGTGAGTGAAAGCTTCCGAGCACAAGACGGGAGGATGCCCCACAAGTTATAAGATTGAAGATTGCTGAAGCGCACTTGCTAACACGACGGGTTTTGCAAAAACCCCAAAAAAAGAATTAAGCGCCACCGATGTGCCTCAAGCTCAACGTGCGTTGCCCAAGGTACAAGATACCTCCATCCCCTGCCCACCAACCCAGCAAGGTGCACAACATCATTCGCCTGCAACGAACTTGCGAGGGTTCAACTGCTTCACCACCTTCAGTGTGGCCAGCTCAACCTCAGGAGGGTGGAGGGACAACTAGCTTGGAAGATGATTTGAAACCTTGGCTTTTGCCATCCGTAGGCCTCATGGCACGCAGTGGGCAGTGGGGGTGAAGGTCCCGGTGAAGCAAGTCCCCCACTCCCCGCCTCTTGAGGCCCTGACCCCGCTGCTGAAGCTACTACTGCTGCTGACTGCTAGCTGCTACACTGCTACACGTGGTGAATCGAAGGTCTTTTCAGCGGAGTACAGGTGAAAAAAAGAAGAAAAACGCGCCGTGGTGCCCCTGCATGGTCTTCCTAATCCCAACTGGCCCTACTGCTTGGACAGTGCGGGATTTCTTCCATCAGTTCCTCCATCTGGGAAGTCTGAGTAGCTTCCTACTCGCCTGAACCGGTGCTTGGACTCCTGCGCTGGAGTGGCCCGTTTCTAAGAGCAATGTCAACTGCCCCACGATACAAAACCCAACTTTTTGCCCCTGCAACGAAGTCAATGTAGACACCCTTCAAAGCGGCCCTTGGACCCCCACGCCATATCCAAACGAAACCAAGAAAAGGAGGCACTACAGTGCCACGCCATATCCACGCACCCCAGCCATCTCACCCACTCCTCCCACACACAGCCCCTTGAGCTCAGACAAAGAAAGCCATGTTCGCCAACCAAAGCAAACCACATCTCCCTATCCTTACTGGAATGATCCTGCCACACGCGCCGGAATTCAGTACATGCCCAAGCGAGGGGCCAAGGCCAAGCCTGAGCTGCCACCCACCCACAAGCCCTCGCCGAGCACCGCCAGCGCGGTCACGCTGCCCGAGATGCCCTCGGAGATCCCATGCGTGCCTTCGCTGCCAAAATCCCATGAGGTCGTGGCGTCGAAGCGTCGGCTTCGGCGCACGTCCACCCCGCCGAGGGGGGCGTCGGTGTGTTGGGGGGTCGCCTCCGGCGTTTAGGAGAAGGACGGGGGAAGGAGTGCGGACGTCAAGACTCCGCATTTGGAGGTGCGAAAGCCCGAGGTGCCCAGTAGGGAAGGTGGCAGAGGAGGGGGTGGATCATCGATCCGCCGCCCCGGGCTTCAAACAGAGTGGCCAGAAGTGCCAAGGGCTTCATTGGTCTTGATCCCTTCGGGCTTTCTGAAACCAGGTGCGCACTCCACTCGTTCGCCCATGGGTCTGTACAGTACACCCCTGAAAAACGAACCGACGAGCGTCATTCAAATGTCGTGGTGTGGGGGTTCATTTGCCAGCATCTCACCGCGCCGTCCGATGCGCCGGACAAGAGCACGTGCTGATGGGTCATCAAACCTCGGCGTTGAGCGACGGCTTATGGGAAGGTGGTGACCATCCGGGGGTGCTGATTTTTCGGCTTGACTCGGGGCTATAAAGCAAAGGCACATGTCACATTCTTTGAAAGAAGGCACCGGCCCATCCAGCAGAAACTTGTACTGGCTTTTGGCTCGCAAAAGCTAAAAAGCTTGGCGTGTCCCCCGAAAGTGTGATTTGGGAGGGGGATAAGGCTATAGGCGCTGACGTATCTCAATGTATTTCAAGCTGGTGCAGATTGGTGCAGTCTGCCTGGGTGATTGATCGCCAGGTGCCACATCTAAACTTGAAACTGTTCATCCTGGAAACTGGTGGTTCGAATTTTGATGTGTTCGGGTCTCTTGTTTTCCCCTCGCTGGCATCCCAAAAAGGCTCCACCGTGGGCCAAACATCGTGGAATCTTCAGCTCCTTAAAATCCATTGTAGAGAAAAAATATCACGCCATGAAATATAAATGAAAATAAGAGATGATAAGGCACAGATGAACCGACCAACACACCATACCCTGCTCGTGGACTACCCCTCCTTCCTCAGAAGTGTTCAAAGCCAATCCAAACCTCAGAAAGTCCAACAGCGGCCCAAACAAATGCGGCTCCAATGGGTCACCGTGTTTCTCGTTCCTTTTGGGGTCATTGGCATAGGGGAGGGGGCAACCGAACACCGGATGGCTCCGCGCCACAGGAGACCCGCTTCTGGTGGCCGCTCAGCACCGTCTGCTGTCCCGACTTCATGAAGCCCTGCGGGAGACCCCGTTGGTGGGCTAGAGGCAGCTGCCATCCGCCATCAGTTTCTATTCTGGAGGCCGGTCGTGCACCCCACATGAAAAACAAAAAACGGCCGCAAGCTTTGGCCCAACCATCAGGGGGAAAGCATGAGAACGCAAAGAATGGAAGAAGGAACTCTCTCTGACTCTCTGCTGTGAGTTTGCGTGTTTCGCAGGTGGCTTGTTTCCGGGGTATGTTCTAGTGGTACTAGTTTTCAAGTCGCACAAACGCGGTTGCTTTCTCGGCCGACGGATCGCCTTGATGTTGCCATCGCCCAGGCCACAGAAGAGCCAGTCTCCAGCACTGATAAGGCACCAACAGACCTCGCCCAAAGGCACCTCTAACCTGAGCCGAGAAGCAAAAAGACACAAAATCCACTTTGGCATTTGGAAGCTGAGAAGTGGGGGATGCGTGGCCACCAACGTACAAAAAATGCCTTGGCTCTGGAAGCAGCAAGAAGCAAGCTCAAACCACGGTCCTCATGAATTAAGACCTTCCTATATCGACATGCTCATGGGCAACGCACATTGCTTTGCTGAATCATTCAATCGCACTTAACCATCTGAAGAAGTGCCTAGTCTCTAGACTCTAGACAGTTCATGCGCAGCAGGCGTCGTCAGCAAAGTCACCAAAGGAACAAAGACAAAAGACCAAAAGAAGACTGGGCCCAAGCATCATTGGCCTGGGCTTTCACCTTGACCCAACTCCGACAAAAGTTGCAAGTAGTAACAAAGCCAAATCTGCCCCACAACCTGATGGACATATCACATATAGGACATATCAGAACCTGGGCATCGATAGGAACTCCCCACTTAAGGTTTGTATATACATGTTTGTGCGATCTGAGTCTCCCTCAATGGTTGCCTTGAGAAAGACCGCCCGAATTCCTGAACTGCTTGACGACTGGACCACTACCCACCCCACCACCGCCGCGCATTGCGCGCGTTGCCCAGGTCGCTCCGGTTGGAGCTCGAACTTCCCGGAGGCGCCGACGTTCACCTTCCACCTCACAGGGGGCCAAGACCCCACCTCACCTGAAATAAATTCTCCTAGTATATCTATCTATCTATTTATTTCTCTACATATTATATTCATTTATTTATCTATCATTATCTATCTGTGTGTGTGCGTCAGTTTTCTCATGTTTTCTCTCATCTCCATCTCCGTCTCCAAAACCAATCTCACTCCGCCTCTTCAAAGTCTTATCCCGCGAAGCGGTGTAGATGCAGTCGGCCGCCATGACCACCGACATCACCGCGTCCTTGTGCGCCCCCGTGATCTCCGAGTGCCGAAACATCCCATCCTCTCCTGAAGGCGTGGGAAGGCCCAGCAGGGACGAAGCCCGGGCAGAAGCAAGCCCACACGTCACCCGGGTGGGGTTGGGGATCCAAGGGGATCCAACCGGAACAAGACGAAGAAGACACCGGGCGTTCGGCGCTGCGGCGGCCACGAAGGGGGTCGAGAGTCGGGGGGGAGTTCTGAATCAAGAGTCTGTCGGGACTGTTGATGGAATAGACTCAAGCTAATAGGATGACTATAGTGGCATGTGCTTGATGATCTTGATGTCAAGTGGTGGGAGATATTCCAGCCACTGGGTGGTGACCTGAGGTTCGCTGTTCATATGTCCAGGCTCTGCACTCTGCACGAGCAGACCAGGGCCTGACCAGAAAAAGAAGGTGACTCGGACCTCGACTCAGACATCTGATGTGTCTTTTCTTTTTCAGCTACCCCGGGCTAACCCATTCTGTATCATCAATCGGTCCATCTCACTTGCTGACAGGTTCACGCACCAGTAGCTACCCCATTAAAGCCTTACGTTTGCTTTTTTGCTGACCCATATTCCCCGCTTAAAAAGCTTCTTATTGTATACTAGTAGCGATGCCCCTTGCTCCTAGTAGCATCCTTGCTCCTAGTAAGGCCAGGAGCCCCGTTCGTGGCGTCCGATCGCTCCTACTGTACCACCTGGGCCAAGCCACTCACCTCAGTCTGCACAGAGTTGGGCACTGCCGCCCCCCGCGGATCCCGCGGATCCCGCCGCCCGCTGCGCTTCTCCGCGTTCCGCCGCGCCGCGGAACGCGTGGGGGGGCTGGTCTTGTTGCGGGCGGGTCCTGCGGTACAATGTGCCGGACCAAGGGCAGTGCATCACAGCAAGGAGCTGATGGGGGAGAAGGGGCTTGCAAAAAATCAGCTGAGAAAATACCTTCGAATATGCCAGCCAGGTGCAAGAGAACCAAGCTGCCAGCCCTGTCCTTTGGGCTTGTAACTTTTCTTCCTCACAACGCCTGCAAGCAAGCAACAGGCCCTCGACAATCAGGCACCTGGTTTGTCTCAGGCATAAGTTGTTCTACGCTGCTGCGCTGTGCGTACGTAGTACATCTCCGAACACATCCATGGGGAGGTGACTGAACAAAGAACAAGGCTCGCTCGACTCGTTTGAGTAACCTGGCCCCGAGTCTTGTTGAGAAGTATAGAGTATATACACTCCCTGGAACTAACATGGAAGTGGAGAATGGCCCCGAAAGGAAGACCATGAAATCCACTACAAACAGTTGGTGAACTCCACTTCCATGTTACTTTCCAGGGAGAGTACTTGCGGCATGAAGGTAATGAGGAAAACCACTCCGTTCCCTGCCTGGCCCCTGTTGCGGATCGCCCCTTCCTCTGCCTCGGCCTCGGCAGAAAGACCGACGCAGGCGCAACTATATAACTACCAGGTTGGGACCGGATGATCTGCTTCTGAGATCCTTCTATGGCATAGAATCTACAAACCAGAGACCAATGCACAGTGAAAATGCTCCTGGCCTTGGTTTCCTCGACCTTGGCCTCCTCTGCCTTGGCTTCCTCGTCCTTGGTCGCCAGCGCCTCTTCTCCGATTGCGCGCCGGCATGACAGCGTATCAGTCGATTTGAAGTGGAGGACAACTGTGTTCTTTGCCCTGGCTAGCGGGAGAATCTTAGATAGTATGCTGGTGGGACATGACGGTGTGGGTCAATTCACCGGCATGCCTGGTGAAGAGCAAAAAAGCTTGGCTTGTGGATATTCCTTCACCAAAGATGGACCAAAAGAATCCAAAAGATCTTGATTCTTGATGCTCTCACTGTGTCAGTTTCAATTGCTTCTCTGCCTCGGGTTAGGATGCTGTCAGTGCTATGACCTATCACATAGTAGGATCGATGCGCAGGAAAAAGGAAGCTGCTTGTTTAGTGGCATGAAACTTCCAAAAAAACAGCTTCGGGCCAGGGATGGCGGCGTAGCTGAGAAAAATTAAAGTGAGCTACATGACCTACAACAGGAAACACTGCACAACATCATGTTCATGTAGCCACATGACGCCCAGCAGCATTGGGACTGCGCTCTCTGAGATCATCCTTCATCCTACTGGTTCCAAACTTCGTTCTTCGCCCATCATGGCCCGGGCATGGCCCGAGAAACCACTGCACTCCCAGTAGAACACGCTGATTCGGTAGTGATCTCCGAAACATCCTCCACACTGACTTGACACTGATTTGAATGTAATACATCGCCCAAATCTCATCGATAAGGCCTAAGAAGTACAGGACCCGTTCGGTCGATTCCTTTCAGCTCCTGCACGCGCTGGCTTTGTTTAGCGCAACCACTGGGGTGTTTGAGCTCGCTCGGCTCGGTGAGCTATTTGGGTGAAACTCTCTGACTCCACTGGCGGCACTGTGCACAGCACCATCACCGGCTGTTCGGCTGTCCGGCCCACTGGCTCACCCGGCGGCAAGGGGCGGCAAGGGGCGAAGCGAGTGTCGGGAGCTGCTCACTGCTGGCCCAAGGCCTTGGCGGATTTCTCCAAGCTGTCCAGCTGCACCTCTCCAAGCTGTCCAGCGAAGGACAAAGCCACGTGTCATGGGCATGTTTTTCAGTATTGCTGATGTTCTTTGGGTGCAAAACCGCAAGAAAACCACCACACATGGTAGAACTACAAGTGCTGCGGACAGTTCCGCAGGTCGCTGAGAGAAACCGAGAGAGAGAGAGAGAGAGTCCAGCGGATGAGTGCAGCGTGGTTAGCCAAAAGGCCACGCTAAAGGGGAAAAAGGTAAAAATAGACATCCCCTGACCCTGAAAACCATGTAAAGCTCCCAATCGTTTGCCCATGTCCTGTGAGGGTCAAGAATGCATTCTGCTGTCTAAAGCATTGAGTAGGAGCAGGAGTAGGAGCAGGAGCTGTTATAAAATGCATCGCTAGGGAAGCCCACATTCTGGCTATGCCTATGCCTATACCTATGGTGTCCTATGCCTATACCCAGTGTGTCTAGGGCTTTGCCTATGCCTATGCCGGCGATCGATGCGATTTGGTGCGACGGTGCGACGGAGACCAAACGCCTTCTGCTGGTCGTTGAGCTTGGACTTCTGTTCCTCTGAAAGCTCCTGGCCTGTCAGACGGAGCTCAGTTTGAGCAGGGGATCCACACAGAAAGGGAGGCAGCCGGGAGGCATGTGGAAGTAGGCCGACTTTCAGGGCAAAAGCGGTTTTGGGATGTGGGACTTTCAATACCGTTTCATCCCCCAAACTTGAGGCCCATAGGTCTCGTCTGGGACTTGAAGGCTTCTGCAAAAATGAGACTGCACGAACATGAGTCCCCCAAACTGAGACTGGGGATGTTTCCCACCAACTGGTCATGTCACGAAGGTATGTACACATCCAACCTTCCGGTCAACACTCTCCAGATGAGCAGAGTTGCCCAATGCTTGGCGACCTTAAGCCCTGCTTGGAGACCGCCCTCCAGAACCTGGACCTCCGGCTGCCCGGAACTCGGACCACCCTGGACGAAACCGGCTGGCCTGTCACTGTGGCTTGGGAGCTCACCATGTCCTCGAGTCGAGTGGGACAGAGATGGAAACCAATTCCGGTTTTGGACGGAGTGTCATGGGTGTTGACTGTGAGCACCATCGCGACTCACTTCGAAACGCAGTCTTCAAGCGTTAAACAATCTGGTGCCCACGCAATGGCAGCCCCAACGATTAGCAGCTTTTGAGGGATGTTCACAGCCTTCTGCAGGAAGCACAAGGCCTGAGTTGGTGGTCTCAAGAACATCACTACCCATATACCATGCCATTGGCCCTTCGGTCTCAAGGGTTTTAGAGCACTCTGGCATTCATCACCGAAACAAAAGCCGTGCAAAATCTAAACCCTGGGTGTCCAATCTGCCCATCCAAACATCCGGACTTGGGGCTCTGCATGCTCTGCCAAGAGGCCACATAAGCTCTCCATTCCTTGAGGAACATCTGTTTATGTGCCTCCTGCACCTGTGCGCCAATCGCCCGGTTAGTGTGTGCCACCGCACCACCAAATCACCAGCATGGCCCCAAGACCTGACACCACCTGGGTCCTCAAGACCTGTTCAGTCGTCTTTGATCGAAGTATGGCCGGAAGTCCACACCGATGTGGCCTCCGAATGACTGGTCCCCTAGCTCACCTGCGGCTTGGCGTGGAGCCGGAACTCCTTCCGCGCGTAGGTGTCGCCGAGGCTGCGCATCGCCGGGTCCAGCTTGACCCGGTGAAGCCTCATGATGGTCCTGCAAAAGAGAAAACGTGGAGTGAGGTGAGAGTGACTGGGAATGATAGAGAGGCTGATGCCGGGAACCATTCATGCGTATCTATCTACCAATTCATGTCTGTCTATCTATCTATATCTATCTATATCTATCCTATCTATATCTATACCTATACCTATATCTATCTCTATCTCTCTCTCTCTCTCTATCTATCTATCTATCTATCTATCTATCTATCTCTATCTACCGTCATACTGATGACCCGCAGGGCACTGATGACCCGTTCAATCGTAAAAGGCCATCTAAAAAGCACAGGTCAGCACTGAGTCAGCACCCAAAAGAAGTTCGGCCCGTGTGGAGACCCGAGAAGGAGATCATCGGTGGTGGTTGTGTGCAGAGCCCCCATGGTTTTGCGGCAGGTTGAGTCGGGTTGAGATATTTACACGTGTATATAGAGGTGTATTGCCTGTGCAGTACATGAATTTATAGAGGATTCCGCGTTCGGACTTCCACCAATGGAGAATAGGAGGTATCTATTGCAGTTGCCGGTGCATCATGGTGCATCTATCGAGTACCGATGCTGGGTGGCCCCCTATCGGTTCTCCAAATTTGGCATACAGTAGGACAGGGTAGGACCACTTCTTCACGGCCAGATTACACTGTCGGATGACACCAGGGGCAGCCATGAAAACCCTACAGGTTCCCATCGTGGAACCGCCATCTCTGAAGACAACCCACGCTCCGGTCCGGAAGAGGCTCTTGCTCTCGCCCACCAGCGACATGGCGCCTTGGATATCCAACCAGGCGCCACCAATTCGACACCCAAACGTCAGTGGCACAAAAGCGGGGCCGCATGGACAACAAATGGCCTGAGAGATCTAAGAGGAAGAACTTATAGGCATTTAGCACTGAGTCTACGAGGCATGGACGACGTAGTGACGTTAGATTTGGAGGACCCCTTTTGGGGGCTCTGCACCACCGGAGCCTGTTCAGGCCTGACCCTTCCGACTCTTCCAACTCATCGACCCTGAGAATGGACCCAATCGAAAAGCATTTTCCTCTACCAGCACCCTCCAACAGGTCGATAGTTGAGGGTTGTTGGGCTGTTAACAGGTCTCAATTGGTGACCTGTCGGAGGTCCTGGTGCCACACGATGATGTTGGGGGTCGGTGTTGGGGGTGTGGAGGTCCCGGTGCCCGGGAAAACCACGGTGGAACTGGACCCACCCGTCGGTCGGTGCGGGCCGTCTGCCTGCCACGCCAAGCTGCCCGCAGAACAAGCTGCGCCGAAAAATGGCCCCCGGTAGGTGGGGACAAAAAGATCACACACGGCGTTGAGCCGAGACGCTCCAGTGGATGCCATGGGTTCCCACTTTTTTTTGAGGACCCGGACCCAGTTCTAGATTTCAAGGCCATGATCACTCGCTTCAAGTAGCAACTATGATTTGTCCAAGACTCTACACATGCTCGTGCTCATCTCCTTGGCAGGAAAAGCGAGTTCCAAGTTGTGACATGTTGTGATAGCTTTCTCTGCAAGTTTGGTTTCTCCGGCTTCGCCCGGCATCGATTCGCCCACCAACTGAGCTGTTGGCATTGGCCAAGCCTTGCGGGCTGAGTTCGGGCAGCGCCACATGGACACGGTCAAGTAAGCTCGCAAAGCACCTGCCAGGCTTCGGAAAGACCAGAAAGTCCAATTGCTGGGACAAGGTCTGGTGAGGCCATTGCTTGAGGGAGGTGCGCCCGATTTCGCGCCCCCCCAAGGGTGGATGTCGCTGCGCGTGCCGCACGCCGCGTACAAGCCGCGAGGACCCGGCAGCGAAAAGCCGCAGAGCCACCGGCAGCGCTGAATCGCCCGTGCAGACCCTTTTGCTTCTTCCAGCTCCTGCCTATGCAAACAGGCCGGGGGCGGCCCTGTTAGGCCGGCGGCTGTTCGGGAGTCCTTTCACCCGTGAAGCACCATGTGCGTGCCGCGGTGTGTCGCGAGCACCCTTCTTGGGACTTCGGAAGCTCAGCCTTCTTGGCAAGGACTCCTTCGGGCCATTTTCTGGGGCAAGGAATGACCGTGTAGCTGGCAGCCCCTCAGCAACCCCATCTTGGCGCCGGCTTCCCTTCTTGAAGGAAACGCACGATTCACCAAAGTAGTTCAACAAGCCCACTGGAACTATGTGCTAAGATGTGATAAGGAACCTTATGCCTGGTTGTAGTATGGGTTCTTCCAAAACGCGCCGAAACGGCAAAGGCTCCGAACGCGGCCATTGCCGTGGAAGATGGCGAGGCTGGGACCGTCCTCTCCCTTAAACCAAGTCCGACCTGCAAACGTCTAAAAGCTTTGGGACCACGGATCTTTATCGAAGACTGGACATCGGGAGTTGCTCAGAGCCCTTGCTTAAAGCCAGTTTGGCTTCCACAAGGCTCAGCATGTGCCAGCCACAATGCTCGAGCTATCAAGCACCCCAGCACGCATACATGTCAAGACTTTGTCTTTGTATCTCACTGAGGGCGCATCTGGCTGAAGCTTGGGCAAATCACCCAAGACAACCACGGTGGGCGGGTCTTCCTAAGGAAACGCACAGTCACTACACCCAACCGAGATGAACGAAAGATTACAAGTCTGCACTTGAGGTTTGAAGGATTTGAAGGCCACCAACATCGGTTTTCTCACAGGCCTTGGCCACTCTGGGTCGGCTAAAGGATTGAAAAACTGTGGCTTCGGCTTCGGCGCTGCTCACGTGTACATGGGAGCCAAAAGAAATAGCTCCGCAAATCTGAAAAGAGCTGGTCTGCCTGCAGAGTGGGAGTGGCTGTCAGGGCAAGCCAGTGTTAGGAGTCCAGGGGCAAACCCTCCAATCTTCGATGAACTGGATGTGTCCTTCTTCTTCCGGCTGGGAGTTTGACAGCTCGCCGGTCGTCACTCCTTTCCTCAGACCGTTTGTCAAAGATTGGACCCGTATGAGCTTACGTGCCACTGACCACTAATGTGGCCCTCAGATTTATAAACCCCCCTAGAATTATGTCTTTTTTTTTCCCTGCACTGATTTATAAAGGCCCCTAGAATAATGTCTTTTTTTTTTGGAGGGGTAGTTGTAGTGGATGTTTTTTAAATTGTTATAGTTTACTTTTTCCCTTTTGAATTTGCTGGGATTTGCTTATCTTACAGGCTTTTGGATTGAGATTTCTATTAAACATTTGGAGATTTCCATTGAGATTTGATTCTTTTGGAGGCTTTTGGATGGAGATTTCTATTCAAAAAATGAGATTTCCATTGAGATTTGATGCTTTTGGATGCTTTTGGATCCCTTATTTAAAAGTATTAAAAAACAAAAAAAATCATTCAAGCAAAGGGGGTAGTCCAGCAAGCAGCTTTCTGACATTATTTAGGGGGGGCCCCTAGAATAATGTCTAGAGATTTGAGGCTTTAAATCTTTATTCCTTTTCTTTGCCTTTTGATTTGCTTTACTCACCCTCTATTCCTTATTTACTTTTCCTAAGCTCTTTAGTTGTAGATTTCCATTGAGGTTTGATGCTTTAGGAGGCTTTTGGATGGAGATTTCTATTAAAACTTTGTAGATTTCCATTGAGATTTGATGCTTTTGGAGGCTTTTGGATGGAGATTTCTATTAGAAAAGTTGAGATTTCCATTGAGATTTGATGCTTTTGGAGGCTTTTGGATGGAGATTTCTATTAAGAAATTTGAGATGTCCTTTTAATTTAATATTGCCAGAGGTCTTCAAACTTAGGAATTGTTATTTCCTTTTAATTTAATATTGCCAGAGGTCTTCAAAGTTAGGAATTCTTATTTCCTTTTAATTTAATATTGCGAGAGTAGCTCCAGAGGTAGCTAGCTAAGGATTCCTTATTTAATTTTCAACTGATTGATTTTCATATACATTATTTTGGAGGCCTTGGTTGTTGAGGGGGGGAGGGTTTATAAATCAAGGGACTACATTAGCTTGGTTGCGCCCATTCGTGGTTTGTGGGGACCATGCTTTTGTTCGGACCGGGAAGGACCGTAGCACCTACCTCCGCCAGAGCACCTCGTGAGCACCTCGTGAGCACCTCGTGGCCCCGGTTTTCCAGCGCAACCTGCCCCTCCGTCGCCTCAAGGCCAAAACCATGAGGGAGCGAAGATAGGCTTCGTCTTACCTGGGGACGGGAAGAGGCGTCCGTGATGTTTCCGCGCACACCCAAAGGGGGTGAATCAAAGGGCCTAATAGGACTCAATACGTGAAAACTGGAACAAGGAGGGAGCAATAAAATTATATATACATAACAGGAGTCACAAGGGTGCCTATTAGAGGATAGGGGTGCCCATTATCCACTCACTTATGCTCCTGGTATATAGTGGCACGTTGTTTGACATGCTTGACTCGACGAATAGAACACGATCATGTCACTGACGCGTCTTTCTCATCAGTGACGCACCGAAACACCTCCAGGCCAGGACCTTCACAGTCAACTCGTGCTCTGCATTCCTGACCTGCACCGTTCATGGCACGAAGACGGGTGATGGGCGAAAGGAAGGCGACGTTTCGCGGCAGGGCTTTTTAAAGGTCAGAATGAAGTGATGAAAGCGACTCCACCAACTCCACCACGTCAGCCCTTTACAAGGCGCTTTTACTTCGGCCCTTCGTCTCCTTCACCGGAGAACGGGTGGTTCCCTCCGTTCCCTCCCTCCACGGGTGGCCTTGTCCATCAAGACAGCCCCAGAACCTTCAAAGCCATCCACCCCGATAATGCGGTCAGAGGAGAGGATCTGCTGCCTGTGGCAGATTTGATGCTCATGCTGGTGACGAATCACAGCACCCACCCACCAAACGCAGCTGGTGCAAAGGAGGTGGCACAAAAGCAATTGCCAAAGAGCTTTTGAAGGGTATTGCGACTGGCTCAAACATTGGCACCTTCTACCAGCCTAGTGCTTCCAAAACGCCGGCTTCTTTGGAAACCCCTAAATTGGTGGAAGATCAAGTGATGCCGCCAAGTGTAAAAGTACTAGGACTGATGGCACAGAAAAAGGATGTGTCAGACTCCACTCGGCTAGGTGAACCTGACTGCCAAGTCACTGGATGGCAGCAGAGGTGTTGTAGTCCTACACATGACGACCGAACTCCCATGTGGCAGTTCGCCATGCAAAGGTATATATTTAAATATACTGTAAGCCATTGCAAGCCTCACGAAGAATCATCCTGAAGGTTGACTTCCGGAGAGAAGAGAGGAAAACAACTAAAAACTGTCCTTGACGACACCATCTTCCACTCCCAAGACTAGGAGGAAATGTGGTCCATCTTTGAGATGAACCCCCAAGCTCTTCCCATTGCGCCGCAGCTTCACCTGCACAACGGACGCGTTGGACGCGTTTTGCGGTCGCGCTATGCCGCTAGTTCGCGGAACCCGCAGGAATAGAGCCATCACTGGCGGGTAGGGGGCCGATGGATACAGCAAGGCAGCACACCATCACAAGGCCAACAGGATCCACAGAACCGTGCCACGCTTGCTCCCAGAAACTGGCCCCAAAACCCCCCAAAAAAAAGCAGCACGTAGCAGCCATAGCAGGGCTCCTTTCTGAAAACGGATCAAACTACCAGCTGTACTGAAAGCACACTGCTTCTCATACTTCCCTTTTTGTTGACCCATTGCCTGTTTGAATCATGACTGGGCCGATCCATTTCCCGGGCAGAAATGGCCTCGTTGACCCTTGCACGTTGGAAGGTGAGGACCATGTGATCGTGCGTCGACTTCAGCAAGTCCAAGACTTCCTCCGGCACATTTTTCGCAGGATTCCATGGCTATGAGGTGAGTCTCCAGACCCATGTCCCCGGTGGCCGGTGGCCATCTCACCCAATCATCGTGAACGTGATGCGTCACCATATGTCACCAAGAGATCCCGAGAGAACAGGCATGACGTGACATGTTGGAATGCTTTGGAGGACTCTTCGTGGGTTGGCATAAGCCCACTCTGCCTAAAGCGGCAGGCTTAGCGCCCAGAAGCCTCACTTGAGACCCCGTTAAGGCACCAAAAGCTTCACCCGCTTCATGCAGCCCCCCTGAAACAGGCCAGCTGTCCTTGCTCTTCTCGCTGGTGTGGCCGTTGACCGCCACCAAGCGATCAAACTTCCGCACCTGTCGCGGGGCGACGCCGCCATGATCAGCCCGCCGGTGGCACAACCCGGCGGCAGGAAGCTCAGCGCAGAGCTCAAGCCAGAACGATTCACCGGCTCCAATGTAGAAGGACTTGTTCGTTTTCGGGGCTATGTGTTTTTTAAGGAACATAGACCTGAAAATATGAAAATGAAAAAGTCCTGCAACATTGGAGCCATCAGAAACTGAGTCCGGATGTCCTTCCGTTCCTTTTGTTGAAGTTGGATTGGACCCAAATCCAAACAACCGACCGCAGGATCCATGATTTCCAACAAGGTGGCCTTTGGACCCGTGGATCGTGCACTGAGCTTCCAAATCCTATCCCAACACCCGCTCCACTTGCTCCAGGTCGGTCCGCGATCCACTCCACCCAGTGCTCCGCGGACCCCGCCTGCTGCTCCACTGCGGCCGTCTTGTTCCAGTCGGCAATGAGGCCGTCATCCGTCACCGTCGTGACCACACAGGCCTCGTCGGTGGGAGACCAGTCTAGCTGCTTTTGCTTTCAGGTCTACACCAACCCCGCCCGGTGGCTGGAGGAATTGGAGGGCTATCCAAGCCGAGAAATGTTGTCCAGGTTCCATGTCAGTCCTCTAGTATGGAAGGTGCTTATTGTAGTGGTGCTCATTATGTGAGAAATACCGTACAATCCAATCTGAAGCATTTGCCCCTTACAATCAGCGTCCGGAAGATGGTGTTTCCTCCCTTTTTTTCGTCCTCGCCTTGCCTGGCCGAACCGAACCGTCCCCTTGGCGCGTGGTGAGCCGCGCGTCGCGGTTGGGCGAAGGCACCTTCTCAGCACTGGAGAGATCGACCCCGAAGTAGGTTCCTGGCTTCCGCTCAATGTTCACTTCCTCGGTGCGTGCGCGTTCCCAAGAAAGTGGAAGACGAAGCAGGTCCTCACAGCCCCCACGGTCACACAAGCACCCATCGTAGGATTGGCCCAAGACATGCCCCGGAATGTATTCAATTCGTTCAAAGTCATCGGCATTGCCTGCCTCCTCCCCAATTGGGCCAAACGGATGCTTATCCCGACTCCTTCCCCGCACCTACACACCATGCCCGAAACGGGCCGGGAAGAAACCTTCAAATCCCAGCCGCGAACATGGAGTCGCCCACCTCGGCATCCGTGCTCCAGCGAACGAAGCTCCGGCGATGGGAAAATTCCAGAGGTTCCGGAAACTGAGAGGACCAAAAACCCAGATACACCTGGACACACCCCCTGAAATGCTTACATGTATGGCAGGGCCATGAGTTCGGATGACCAGGAAATCCTAATACCAAACAGGTGGTAAACTCCAGTTCGATGATGATGTCGGGGAGTGTATGCATGTTCTTCCATCCCAGGATCTCGGAAGCACGTCCATGTGAGCAACTGCCAGGAACATCTGAACATCAAAAGCACCAAATGAGTCCATCGTCGTTACTTGAATCATGAAGGCCAGTCAACTTCTGATTTGCATCTTTTCGTTCAATACCGTCGGCGGACCCAAATAAAGCACCCATGATGAGGTTCAAAGCCACCCACCCACCCACCCACCCACGTGTCCGAGTCCTCTTCTTGGTGAACGCGGCCCAAACGCCACCCCCGTGCCTCCTTGCCGCCCCTCGCGGGGAAGGCGGTGTCCGTTTGGAGCTCCGCGAAGGCCTCCGGCCTGCGGAACTCGGGAAGCGAGGCGCCGCGCGCCCCGCGCCTTCGAACGGTGAAGGTGATGGAGGCGAAAAGGAGCAAGAAATTGAATAAATATAATACTAATAGCTTTTTGTTACTACTAGTAAGGCACTTGTTACTACTAGCGTGGCACTTGTTACAAGAAGTTCAGAATTCAACCCACATCAACCCCACCTTTCTTTTTTCGTCCCTCCCTTGGAATGGTCGTGGTGACGTCGAGTTCACCACCTGTTCGTAGGGGAAAATGGTCTTCCAAGGGGCCATGCTTCAGGGAGTGTACAAGTCATGACCATCATGACCTCCCAAATGTAGAACTTCGAGGCATCTGGCAGAAAATCTGTTCAAAGCGACCACTCACTGCAAAGAATTCACCCCCGACTCCTTCATTTGACATGACCCTCAGGACCCACCTCAACCCCGTCCACCTCTCTGAGTGGCGTCTCAACCCCGAGACGTCCCGAGACGTCCACATCACCGAGGGGCTTCTCATCCACACAGCAGCAGGCGAACATCTCGACTCCGCGCAGAGTTCTTCGCGAACTCTCCGAGGTGCCCGGGAGCGACTGGAGGTGCCGGCACGACGTGAAGAGCCAAGAGGGCGCGCCACACGAGAGGTTCGACACCTGTGAAAACACTGGGGAGGTGGACATGAGGAGTGGCTGGATTTGACCAAGCAGACTTGCCTCGAGTTGGGATAGCAGGGCAAAGATCCTTAAGGGTCAAGGGAGATGGTGAATATGCATATATATAGAGAGAGAGAGATTGGACTTTGAACAATGTGCTATACAGGCTCAATGGACTTTATGTGCATTGCTCGGGCCAAGTCTAAGTGAGGGAGCTTGTGCAACGACTGTATGCAACCCCCCGTGCCACCCGCGAACGACGATGGCATCGGAGGTGCGACCTCCTTTTCCGGGCCGCGCGGGACCTCCTTTTTCTCGAAGAGCAACCCTCTTCACGTCGCACCGCCTCGCCGACAGTTCCTCCTTGGGAGGTCGTCCCAATCACACCGCAAAAGCGCCAGGGCCAGGCACCAGCACAACCTGAATGATGAATGTCCCACTTCTCTAACCCAAACATCCACGTGCAACGTGCTGCTCCCAAACCCCCCGGCAAAATCCAGCTTTGAACGAACTTCCACACATGCCAGTTCACGCGGCCGCGCTGGCGCGCCCCGAAGGCAACCAAGCGAGTCGAAAAACCGGTCACCAACGCCATCCCCTTCGCATCACCTGAGCACCGCCATCACCTGAAGTCGGCGACCCGGCGACCTGGTGGGACGAACCACCGTCTGGGTGCGTCCCGGTGGATGAAAGGGTGTCTATTGATAGCCCTGTACTGGTCAAGGGGTGTTCATTTACGACCGGAGATCCTGGTATAGACTCTATGATATGTATTGATATGTGAGATATACATACAGTATACTTCACATATCAACTGTAGTTGCATTTCTGCCTTGGACAACCAAGTCCTGGATGTGCGATGCTGGGCCCCTCTTCTCACGCCTCCAAACGGCCACCTTCAGCGTCAACTCCTTCTCTGCATTGATCACCTGCCAAAACCCTTGAAACCACGGAGGCTTTGGCCCCGTGGTTTCGGGGGTCTCCAGGTCACACCCTGCCACCTGCGCCAGTTCCAGGTCCCCCCCCACCTTGTCCATCAGCGTACGGCCGGCCCCTTCGAGGTCGCTGACGCCGATGATCCAATCAGCGGGTTGAATCTGTCGCCTGCACCACAGATTAAAGTTCCATGTGAGTTGGGGCTTAGCCTGGCATCATACTGTGAAATGATCTCGACTCGCGCGTGTTGGACAGATTCTCCCGGTGGATTGTGGAGCGGTTTCGAGGAAGAGATGCCCCCGCCCTGGTTCGGAGACGTTTTGATCATCTGCGGCCTGAGAGGTGCAACAGGATCTAGTCGAATCTATACAATAGAAGGTTTCGTGGGAACCTTGCACAGAAAGATGGAATGAACACCCATGTGCAATACCACTTCACATTTCAGTCCAAAAACTCTCACCTAATCCACCTGAAGACTGCACCCCTATCCTCCCATGATAGAGTTGTGGAGAACGGAGCTGTTACAGTTTAGGCCACCTTTGGGAGAAGCACTTGCCAATGGACCCCAATATGACCCAGGTAGCGGGACCCTAAAGGGGTGTGCGTTTCGTTTCTTGCGCTGCTTAGAGGTTAAGGCAACCACCGTGTAGGCGGCCCTGGTATATCACCGGGTGTTGAGGCCCTGGACGGACCGCGAGTTGAGGATCAACTGACTTTCTCGCCGTCGCAGGGCATGGTCTCGCCGCATCCAAACACCCACCCCACCCACCCCCGGGCACATGACAGGAGCCGTCGCGTTGTGCTCCTGAAAGCGCGGACGAGCAGTATAGACGTACGATCCTCGGATCGAGCATGGTCTAAAATCAACGGAGCTGGCACCCGACCTCCGTTTTGCGGCTGGTCCCAGGCTCTCTTCTTGGCTGACCCTAACAAGCTAGTGCTGAACCACAAGGTGCAATCCTGAATCACCCGCACTCATCGAGCCCACCTCCGTCAAGGAAAAAGGACAAAACAAATCGTCCTGCGCCGCGCCAGCGTCAATCACCGTGACCAACAGAAAGCCTGGCCCCTCTTTGAGCTGCAAGCCCGCTGCAGGGCTCGCACCATTGGAAGAGAGCTTCACCTCATAGCGACCCACTTCTCACAAGCTGCCCTTTTTCAAGGGTGGCAAGGTGGCATGAAGCTCGCCAAACCCACCGGTTAAGGTATGAAGCCCACCAATCAACCAAAGAAACTGAAATATAGATTTGAGGGCTGGGAGGTTCCACTGAACAAATGGTCACGCGCGGCACGCGGGGCACGCGGGTCACGCGGGTCACGCTATAATGGTCACGCTAACGCATTCCCCATACACCTCAGCATGATGACTGTCTACAGGGCGATTCCGCAGTTTTGAATGGTATCGTTTGCGGTGATCTGATTGTAAGTTGTCGCTGCTGGTTTGTTCGTCTTTGTACCCTGTTACCTTTGTTCATTTGGTTTCCCACGTTAATGAAGCCAAAGTGTCCACCAACCATGAACTCCGGATTGTCAACTCAAGCTCCGTCTTGTCTGGTTGCTTTTGGAGACTTTAAAGTGGTAGGTCGTGACCTGTGAAGTCGGGTGCTGGTACCTGAATCATCCTGAATCGAGATCCCAATGGCTCAGCAGCCCCCATTTTCCAGCCATCTCGGCCGTCGTGCAACTCGCCGCGCCGAGCGTCTTCGTTCACCTGAGAGCGTCGGAAGGTGAGGACGGTGTCCCCCTCCGCGAACCTCGCCAGATCTAAGACCTCCTTCGCGCGGCGGAGGACGGGCCGCGCAGGGGTCGATCTGCAGGTCCAGGGCGGTTCCGACGGACGCGTCCGAAGTTTGGAGGGGCCCTACATGATTGGTTGTTTGAGGTTCTTCCCAGACGCTCCAAACAGCCCTTGGTGCTTCAAAACCTAGGGGTTCGAGACCATATGAGGGTCTAGGAGCCTCTGGGTTGTCGAATTTTCACCCGCGGGTGCTGTGGGTGAGAAGAAAAGGCCCGTTCGACGACCCCCCCCCAGCGCCCGAATCGCATGCACCGTGGGACCGCTGGGCCGGTGCGCGTCGGCGAGCCCCCAAACCGTCCTTGCCCCGCTCGCTGGTTTGACCATTGACCGCCACCAAGCGATCAAACTTCCGCACCTGTGGGGAATAACAGGTGGCCCCAAACCGGCCTCTATCGGTGTCCAGGACTGGTCGGATAGAGGCTCTGGGGACCTGAACTCTAGTCACCTGTATATTCGCTGGGCGCTGCGCTGCCCCCCGCGGATGTGGGAGACATGTCAAGAGCCTCAAGAGCCACACGGAGTTTCTTCAGCTTGGTATGAGGGTTCAAGGATCCATCTGATGTATCCGTGCAAGTATCATGTTGCACTCCTTGAGGGCGCCATGCAGCATGGATGTAAGCGCCATGTGTCCTCTGGATGTAAGCCGGTTGGGCCGAGCTCACATCACTGTCGAATCAGAACAGAATCACCCTTAGCCTTGGGAGTCCAAGACTTTTTTTAAAATAGATCCATAAACTTAGTGCATAGTCGCTGGCACACCATTTTGCCGCTTCGCACTGAAGTTGGTGTCAACCAGCCACGCGATCTGTCAATCGCCTGTGGCATCTGCCACCTCCCC